GGGGAGGGTGAGCGGAATTGGATGCCTAAAATGTATCGACGTGTGTCGTCAGAAGCCATAAATGTCATGTATTTTATACTTTATATGCCTACGCCGTTGTCTTGTCAATGTTTGCACTGTCTGAGGGCGACACTGACTGAAGTATAGCTGGTTCACTTTCCTCTGTCAGCGGTTTAAAAAAAAAATTCTAGCTCATTTATTAGTTCACCCTATGCCCACGAAAGTTCGCATGACACTTCTTCAGGACAACGATCACACTAAACATTTTTTTTCCAAAAATCTTGATGCTATATATATTGAAAAAAAGTCTTATTTGGGCCCTTTATTTGGATGCACAGATCTACACAGTATTACTAAAAATAGATGACTCACAGTAACCTCACCTTCAAGTGGCTCATTTTGAGACAGCGACATCCCCCCCCCACCCCCAGCGAACAATTCAGTTTAAGCTTGTGGATTTCGTCCCACGACTGTCCTGACGTTTCCGTGTGAGTTTTGGAAAGTGCTCACCAACAGACTCGCCCATGTTTCTTAGGCGTAGATCTACGGTTAAGTGTAGTATTGAGTAAAATATGTCAACTTTTTAATGCTTTAGGTGTAGATCAATGTTGTAAATCCTTTTTATTATTTTTTTTACCTGCTCTGGACTAAGATAAAAGAAAACGTAGCGAAACCATCGTTTGCAGAGACCTTTTTTGATAATGGGAATTTATATTTCGTAGTTCATCCGACTTTTAGTTTTAGACTTGTAATGTATGCAAACATCTGAGAAGATTAAACAGAATTATTTTATTCTATCTTGTTTTAACCGCGGTCAGACGAAAGTGAACAGGCTATAGTTTTAACAGTGACCATTTTGAATGGCCTTTCAGATTCTGTTGGTCATTCAACTTGTCGACCCGTATGCAAATTTTTTATTTTTTTATTTGAGAGATTAAACTTAAACAGAGCGGTTTGATTTTTAATTACATACATGTATGATGTTTAAACACGGTCAGACGAAAGTGAACAAGTAAGATCTATGTCTTCCCCCCCCCCCTCCGCCTGTTGTTTCCGTCTGATTACCCTGCCTTTTTTTCATGCTTATTAATTACAATGTGATTAGGTCACTTTCAAAAGGACTTAGATCAAATTTGCAGTGAGAACTTCTTCAAACTTTGAATGGTTTTTTCTCAAAACTGATTCTCCGAACCCAACTAACTTCAAACGGCCATAGCTCTGGAATGTAGTCTTATTTTTAATCAAATAAAGAGCAAGTTCTCCCGAAATGAATGCTGTATATATCGAAGAAGCCGATGTCCGACGATTTGCCGCCTTGTTGCCGGCGCCGTGCCGCTCTTATTTGCACCTTTTTAAGAATGTGAAATGTTGGGAGCGTGGGAAAATATCTCAAGTTTTTCCCACGGTAGTCATGAGATTATTAGGAATTGCTTCCCCTAACTGTTCTGTGGTAGACTCGACCTGTTCGATTGTTAGTTTGTAACCTTGTTACTGCTCGTGGAGTGGTCCGAAAGGGGTGAGCAGGTTATTTTTTCTTGCTGTAAAAGTAAAACAGGTTTTAGTGCTGTGCACATGTCCCCTTTACTTTACCTTTCTAGAGTAGACTCGAAGAGTCTAATTTTTAGCTTTAAATCCGTGCTAGTGACTGCTTCTGGGCTGGCCCGAAAGGGGTGAACAGGGTATGTTGTACATGCTATTCACCTGTGGTTATGAGCGTCTATTTACAGTTATTAAATTTATGAGGCCAGCGTCTGGGCTGAACTTGACTACGACATTTTTTTAAACAAAATAATCGAGAACCCAACCAGTATGACTGTGTTGACGAGAAAATCTCAATGATATCGAACACGCCATTTTCCAGCGATTTGCCGCCTTGTTGCCGGCGCCGTGCCGCTCTGATTTGCACCTTTTTAAGAATGTGAAATGTTGGGAGCGTGGGAAAATATCTCACGTTTTTCCCACGGTAGTCATGAGATTATTAGGAATTGCTTCCCCTAACTTTTCTGTGGTAGACTCGACCAGTCTGATTGTTGGCTTGTTACCTTGTTACTGCTCATGGAGTGGTCCGAAAGGGGTGAGCAGGTTATTTTTTGTTGCTATAAAACAGGTTTTAGTGTTGTGCACATGTCCCCTCTACCTCTCTGAAGTAGACTCGACCAGCTTAATTTTAAGCTTAAAATCCGTGCTTGTGATCGCTAATGGACTGGCCCGAAAGGGGTGAACAGGGTATGTTGTACACGCTATTCACCTTGTGTAATGAGCGTCTATTTACGGTTATTTAATTTATGAGGCCTGCGTCTGGGCTGAACTTGACTACGACATAGTTTGAAAAGGGAAGCCTTGATTGTTGGATTATGCTGACGCTTCGCACCTTGTGAAAGTTACATCAGAAGTCAGTGCTGGTTCTATAAATTCTGATGTTGTTG